GGGGGTAAAGACGCGCCTTCAGCCTAGTTGATACCGCCGGATATACGAGCTAAGTGTACCCGTATCAGGCAACGGCACTGGCAAGACTGGCATTTCCACGAATTCCACCATTGTCTCGCCGGTACACTTGCTGTGTGTTGCTGGGTTGCCTATCGTCTCGCTTGAATTTCGTAATGCGCGGTCTAGATTGTATTATACGTCAATGAGACAAGCAGCCTATACATAATGCTCCATTTGCAACAAACGATAAAATGAAAAGTAAAATAAAATGAAAAAGAAAATGCACAATGGTGAACTAGGTTCGATTGGTTCGGTGCGTTCGGGCATCGACGTATGACCGTTCGCGAATCGACCTCTGACCGTTCGCCACGAATCGACCATTGCCGATGTCGACCTTTGCTACTCGTTCACTGGCGGGAACTTCAACAATAACATAACCTCATTCCACCATCCTTGTTAATAATCACTGTTCTACCCTCTTTTGTTTTTTATTACTTAACTGTGAATTTTCAATCGCTGAAATGAGTAATTATCATCCAGATTCCTTGTCAACTTTACTGCCAATTTACTATAAACGTTTATTTCCACATGGTCCGTTCTTCAGGTGGCTCAGTTATGGAAACGGTAATCAAACCTTTCTTACTCAGTTTCCTTGAAACCTTGTCTCAATCTGAAGATAATTTCAATTATTTAGCAGTTACACTTTACCTTAAGATCATTTCAATTATTTAGCAGTTACACTTTACCTTAAGATCTGGTGCCGGAATTTTAGTTTTCATCCTTCTCGAAGAGATTATGAATCCTCACCTCTAGAGGAAGGCGAACAGTATCTTCTGATATGACGGAAGAATCCTCTCCTGAACATCATCAAAATTATTGCATTTGCACTACCTGCTTTGTATTACAGATTGTCGTAACTTCTCTCTTACAGACGATTGTTCACATTAAATCAGATAATTTTTATTTTTCATATTACACCCTCAACAAATCATGAAAATGCACTGATGGGCAGCCATGAGCCAATCTGTCACAGTATAAACTCAGAAATTCCTCTGCGCCAAGCTAATCTCTTATTTGTCACTTACTTGTTTATAATTTGACTGATACATTTACACTCCACTTTTTGTTGCAGTTGACACAAGATGCTTTGCAAATCGGGAATTTTCCTTCACTCTGGAGCATGACATCTACCTACGATATCAGTCCTTTAGTAATCAAGAGGAGTTTGAAAAAGAAATTGCCAAAATTTGTCCTCACAAAATTGATATTGGCGCTGTTTATTCCTGCAGGTATTACCTCTTTAAATTCATGGACACAATTAGATTTATTTTATCAAATGCAAACCTCATTTGCCATCATCAGATGTGCACTCATTTAATAAAAATATCACAGTATTAACCAGGTAAGTTAGGTAACATGCTGTATTCTAGCTTCATCTTGAGCCCTTTTTAAAAACAGCTAGAAATCAAAGTGCTGACTAAAAAGTAGGCACATCAGCTAAATCTAGAAAACTGTCTTAACTCTGATCCCTATATGCACTCGTGCCTCTCAAAACATCAAAAATCTCGACAGTTCTTGAAAAATTGTCTGTGGATACTACAAAGTTGGATTATTTGTTAAATTAATTCTGAAAAATTCAGAACTGAAAGCCTAAAATCTCCGAGCACTAGGCCCTTAAAAACTGGGATTTGACCAAAGAACTGCTCGAAACAGAATCTTTTGGAATTAAAGTATCTATATGGAGAAATAGAGATTGATTTAGAACATCATTAAAAAAAGCATTCTGACCTACAGCCAAGAGGTGTGGCCATTGAAAGATCACACCAAGAAGATTCTCATAAGGCAACAAAAGTGGATCTCTGGCGAAGATCAGCTTGAATCTCGAGGACAGATCATATGAGGCAAGGATGGCAACTAGGTGTCGTAAAGTGCCCGCAAGCACTGTCAAAGCGACCTACATATTATTGTATGTGTATATATTGCATCATAATTTTTTTCTATTGTTTAGATTAATGCATTATAATTTAACTATTTATGGCCACATATTCTGTACTTGACATGCTACAGTTGGTAACTACTCTTTACTTTTTTTAGACCCAAGTATCGCAACCAATATGTATTCCAAGTAATCGAGAAAGAATTAGTTTTTGATATTGATATGACTGACTATGATGATGTGAGAACCTGCTGTAGTGGTGCTGATGTCTGCACGAAATGTTGGAAATTTATGGTCATTGCGTGTAAAATTATTGATGCTGCACTCAGAGGCAAGTATAACTTTAAGGTCTTATAAACATCATTTAAAGTTTTTCTTTTTTCATTTTATAAATTATTAAATTTTCTTAAAACTATTAGTTTTCGCTCAAACATTTAGTATGAAATCAACACAGTGCCCAAATTTTCTAGCCTACAACATATTTTTTAAGTAATATTTTCCAATACTAAAAATTAGAAAAATAGTGAAGGATAGTAGAATAAAATAAGTATAGAGAACTGCACAAGATAAAATTAAAAATGACGTAAATAAGTACTCAAAGGCACATAAAGTGTCAATGCTGTGTACACATTTACAGCTCCACATCCAGGTATCCTCAGCCCAGCTGATGATTAAGGCGCTCTGAGTATGCTGGAGTGTGGAGCTGGCAAAATGCATTTGCAATATTGACAATTTACAAGCAGGTACCTAGTTATTTATTTGGTTTGGAAAGGATAACATCCTGATTCCTTAACAATTATAACCCTTTACTTTCGAAGTATTTTCAAAAATTCTAAAAGATAATTAGATCTAGATTTTCATAATGCTTCTGAAATAGTTACTGTTTTCAGTTTAGTATATGTACTTCACAGTGTACGTAATGAGAATTTCTTTTATCAAAATTACTTCCTAGTTGAAAAAATGTTAGAAGCCAATTGAAACAATTTTAGCGTGTTTGGTACTTTTAAGATATTCTGTTAAACTTCTACATAAATGACACCTGTGAAACCTATAATGCTCATGAAGTATAAAAACTGTCCAAGAAAATGGCTGATACAAAAGCTGAGTCATGAATATGACCTCTTTTTCTCCTTTCTTTTCCTGCCCTCCGCTCTTTACGAAAAATTATCTATTACCTCATAAGTCATGCATGATACTTATGAGAACAAAACCTATTTTCAAAACCTCATATCAGAGTCCTTTGATTTTTGCGAGCGACTTGTTGGTTGCATAGTCCAGAAGTCTCTTTACTCAGGCAGAAGAGTTCTTCTCCACATCTTCGACTCTTCCTCTCTCTTGATACCCAACCAAATCCAAAGATGACCCTGTTCCGTGGACTTATTTCATTATTGGATTAGACAAACACAGGAAGACACTGTCTGGCTATTGTCTGACCCTTTGAAATTTTTTCGAAGAGTGCTTGCACAGCTACATTTTAGCTGTAAGTAGTGAGGGTTACTCTATATTCTTTTGTCTCATCTATTTCCATTTGATTATCTTTTGCAGAGGATTTTGGTTTTCAGCACATACTTTGGGTATTCTCAGGGAGGAGAGGTGTACATTGTTGGGTTTGTGATGAATCAGCAAGAAAATTAAATAACCTCGCTCGCCCAGCCATAGCTGAGTACCTACAAGTTCTCTCAGGTGGTGAGAATCAGGCCAAAAAAGTCACTCTCATTAGTCCTATACATCCCTCAATCCAGTAAGCTCTTTTTATTTTAGTATCTTCAATTTTCCATTGCTTAAGTCCATTACTTGCAGAGTGTCTTCCAGTCTTACAGAGAAACTGAAGATACACAGAAAAGTTCAGATTTTGAAAGCTCTGCATAGAAGTACAGTAAGCGTAAATATTTTCTGTATGAACAATGTAATCTATCTCTCTTGCACAAAATTTTCTATTAGGTAGATGCATTTTGGCTGACTTCCTCGGCACCTTTGGTGTGATTCTCAGTTGACTTGAGCTGCGCCGAGGATGTTGGAGATTGAGCCAGCTTAAAAAAATTTTTCTTTTAGAAGATCTTTTGTAAATGAGTTTACGTTTCATTGTTTTTACATTCAATCTCTCTGGCTGTTCATGGAACTTATATAGTTATTGCACATATTTTTTATTGAATTTTACAGGTATTTAGAATTTCCGCAAAGAGTTTGAATAAAAAGCATCAAGGGTCTGCAATTTTTTTAGTAGTTCATCACATAACATTCCAATTGAGTTTTCTTGGGGGAGGAGGGGATCCTTATTCAAAATTTCAACTTACCTGTAGACATTCATGTTTGCCTGTTCAGACAATTAATCAATCCTTGACTATGTCAATGCTTACAAGTAACTTTTCTGTGTGCAATACAATTTTCGGTCCAGTGAAAAATTTTGGAATTAACAGAATAAGTTTAATTTTTGGACTTCAAAAAATTACTGACTAAGAACTAAGCTCGCCGTCAGATTGCAGGTATTTTACCTGCTAAAAGTAGGAGGAATAACAAAATGTACATTGGAAAAAATAAAAAAAAAAAAAAAAAAAAAAAAAAAAAAAACACTTATCCCGTCATAACATTTACAACTGTGAGTATGTAGATAAGTTAGCAGTTGTTTACCATTGCATGTGTTTGGAAGTAAATCAATTTATTTATCCTCACACAGCAGCATAGTCAACCTGATTCAATTGATCTTCATTTTGCAATTAGGAACTATAATATCTGGCTCATGCTTGTAACACAAGTTTCATCAGTCTGTTCATAAAAAGTTTTAACTTTTAGTCCATCAAACAGAATCCTTGAGTGACCCTCCCCCTCATTTTCCTTTGTTTTTAAAAAGAAAAAACTTTGCCCGCTCATGTAGAGAGAGCAGTGCCATCTAGCCCAGAGTTTGGCTGTAAGGAAGGTTTTTTTGGCATTTTACTTAACGGAGAATCTACTGTTCATTTTTGCAGGCGAGCCTTGAATTTTATTGAGCCGCTGTTTGATGAAGTGTGCATAAAAGACCAAGACATTCTAGGCACTGATGATCGAATACGAAAGTTTACAGCTCTCATTCCTGACGATGAGTTTCGGAATTCTGTAGGGACTGCCATGTTATCTCTTCGTTCATCCAAAGAAAGGTGGCAGAAGTTCCTACAAATGTACCAGTCAACGTCACAGGTAATGTCAAGAGCTAGTTAAACTAGAGTTTATAAAATGTATGACATAAAATCTTGAAGATCGCTGAAACACCCTGAATTTTCTTTTTTGCTTTTCTTAAGGTATAGTTAATCAACATTTGCCAAAAATTCTGGCATCTAAATACTCTCTTTGCATAGGTCTCCGGGGTGGACACAGAGAACTTCTTGACACTCAAGATTATATTCCAGAGATCCTTCACCGTTCCCTTTATTTTAGCAATGCAGTTCATACAAGTTTGCATGACCAGACTCCATCTATTTGAATGTATGTGAAACAATCGATTTTTATCAAAGCAAATTGCTCTACCTATAATAAATTATTAATCATCGAAGAAAACCATTGATACCAACTTTTGAGAATTGTGATTTCATGTCTTTTATTCATCAATAATAATTTATCTGAGTCATCTCTTGCAATTAAGTCTATTTTTGCGAAGAGTTCTACACAGGGTGCTTCCTAAAATTTGGCCAACTTTTCCCGGACTGGCATTCTAAATGCTAGAAGTGCATGAATCAAAAAAATAATATCCAAAATTGTACTTCAACTATAATAGAAATAAATTTATAAATAAAGAAAAACAATTTCCATCAACTGCAGGTGATTTGAAAATTATTAAAATTAAAATTTGTATTCCTTTTTGTGGTTTCTATGAGTAGCTCTTTATTTGGAGTTTGTTTCATTTTATGCGTAATATAAAGTATTTAATTACCTGAAAATAGTTATTTTTCACTGACTCAGCAGAAGCGGAATTGCAAGTGTTTGGTGGAAGAGATCAAACTGCAGTACACTTATCCTCGGCTGGATATACATGTCACAAAAGGAATGAACCATCTGCTCAAATCACCTTTCTGCGTCCATCCGAAAACTGGAAAAATTTGCGTTCCATTCAATCCAAAAGCTGTCGATAAATTTGACCCTACCACCGTACCCACCATCAGGTGAGATAATTTATGGCTCTTTTATAGTGGGATAGAATGACTGTTTCGTGCAGTACATATCGACGGTGTAAGTCCGCAATCACGTATCTCGGTTTGCAACATGGCAATCTTCCTGTCATACTTCATCACTTAGATGGAAAACTACTCAATGGCGATTCTTAAAAACTGCCGTTATTTATCCTCTCTGTGCGAAGAAAATTCTGCCAAAACTTCAAAGAATGATGTCGATTTGTTCTCCTTCAAACAAATAAAATAGGAGCGGAGATTTTTAAACACCGCAAACGAGATATGTGGTTGCTGACTGATAAATTGTGTTGCAAGTGATTTGTATAATTTTTTTTTTTTTCAAAGAAAACTATCCTACAGTTTTTCTTTGATTACTATTTAGTATTGACAGTAAGTTTGAAGGAAGTTTTCTGGTCAATTCATTTATTTAACAAACATAATTTGGAGCATGTGTCTTACTTTAGGTATTGATAGTATCATTTGATCTTTGATAATGATCATTTCATCATTTTTTAATTTTTTTATCATTGATCTTCTATAATGGTTTTATTGACTTTAATTGAAACTTTTTTTTCAAAAATCAAGCCAAGAAAAAGAATCTGCTATCATCCATATCTATCAAAACTTCCTAACTAAAGTTACCATGTACAAAGTGAACCAATATTTTTCTTAAGGGCCAAAGTGCCAAAATCCTAGTTTAAAAAAATGGACAAAACTGCGCCATTTGGTGTATGATTTATCTTTTGAGCCCAAAAAATGTATGTGTCTAAATAATACGTACTGAAATTGGGCCCAAAAGATTGAAAGCATGCCTTTTTTACACTTTTCTCAAAACTTTCATTTTGGCACCGGGGTTCTTAAAGCAAATTTCGGCTCAATTATTTATTGACTTTACAAAGTACATATTACAAAACTGTAATTTGAAGAATTTTTTATTCTCTGTTCAAAATTGCTCTTATAGTTTTTCCTCTCCACTTAAAATGAAACAAATATATATTCTTAGTAATTTTGAACATTATATTCCTTAATTCACAGCACTCTCATTGAAGAAGTTGGAGAGTACGATGATAAACAGAAAAAAATCCTAGGTGATGCAGACAAGGCGCGTGTCAAAGACTACAAGAAAACATCTGTCTACAAGAATGTGAACGTTTTTGAAGAATTTGTGCGCAACTTGGAAGCAATCTGGAAAGGGAAGAATGTCAAAATTGGAATCAGTGGTGAGATCATCTTATAGAAGCATGCTACTCCATAGTGATCCAAAAAGACGTTCATTACTTTTAAGATTGCCAGTGAACGAAAATATGAGTGATCCAAAGTCTCAGAACTGTGGGGGGCTTGGGTAGGAAGTGGCTTGTTTAGTGGCATCAGTTTGAAATCAACCAGCTTCAAGTGGCAACTGTTTCTCTCCGTGAAAATCATTAGTCATCTAAAATCTGAATCCTTATGAAATATTGTTAGATTAAATGCAGAATGATTAAAATTTTAGAAAAAATAACTTAAATTCGCTCAAATTGGAGGAAAAAACATATCCATCTTTTTGGCTGTAAAATGCGCCTAGATAGGAAAGACTCAATAGGGTGGAGCGTTTTTGGACTTTTTTTTCCTTTTGAAAATGGACATAGCACAAAAGTGGCGAAATGGTTTAATAACAACACCTGAATTTCCCTGAATTTTTTCGTCAACATTTGGACCTCCGGGATTGACGTTGAAGTCAAAATTTGCAGAAAATTCAGGTTTTTGACTGATAATACCGGATTCAGATAGTGCTTTTTTGCGTGAGAAAAATCTTCTAATTTCGTGCTTGGGACAAGAGGCACACTGTGTATTACACCATCAAGACCGTTATCCTGATGTATGTGCCCTCGCTCCGGCAACTTCCATATTTTGCAATGATACGCTATGAGTCGGCCGGCTAAAACGAATACTAAAAAAAAGACCTGGCAGATAAGCAGCATGGCTTTCATTGGCTTCATGGTGTGATGGGCCAGATGAATCTGATGTGCAGAGAGAGAAATATTATTAGAAGTGTGCCTAAACAAGACAAAAGTGGAAAACAGCGCTTTGATGCTGCAAGAACAAGCTGAGTACTGCAACATTACAATAATTGTGGAGTTACACTCGGACTAAAAACATTCCCAACAGGGAACTTATGCACATGTTGATGGCACTGTTTTTTTTTTTTTATCGTTCTTCTACATCCTCGTCTTTGAAAGTGAAACACGCAGACTTTCGGAATTAAAGGTCACGTCGCAATCGGGTAAATGTGTGGGAAATGTCCTTAATTCCGATGATAACCAGTTTCGAAAAGTTGAAGAATTACAATGATTACTCAAAGTGCGCCGAAAAATGGCAAATTATCACCAAAAATTTCTCGAAATTTTCACGGCTGCAAAAGCCCTATCCGGCGGATCCAAAAACCAGATATCGCAATTGTCCGGAAGGATACAGATACCCGCAAAAATCGTATCCGGCCGGATAATTGCCGGATACCTGGCCCAACTCCATAAAAAAGACTTCTAAGAATTAAAAAAAAATGAAGAATTTTTAATTGTTTTCAGCCTTTTTTGTCAAACTATGATCTTCATATTTTTCATTACCGTTTCCACTGAATGAAAATGGAATATTTTTACAAAATATGCCTTCTTTTTTTCCAACTATGCATGCTGGCATTACATTTGAGCAACAAGTCTAACATTTTATTTTTCTTTATTTGCAGATCAGAGTATGGAATTCTAATTTTCACAGCTACTGAAGTTCACGAAACACCACTCCTTCAGTCGATAAGTCTACAGGAATGAACTGTACTGACGTGTATCACGTTTGTCGCTCTTATTGAGGTTTGAAATCTTCATGATAAAGGCAACAATGTACTTTCTAATAGCTAAAATGTAAGCTTCTCAAAAGGAGATTTTTCAAAGATAATCATGTGTGACATTCTAACCACTTTTTGTGTGGAAAACAACATGGTTAACTGTAGAAATCCTTGAATTGTCGTCTATTGCAGCTTATGTTCCTATTATTCCACTGCAATCAGGAAAATCCATTTTTAAACTATGTTATTTAATTTTTTTTTAAGTACGCATTATGAATTGGAATAAGATGTCATTGCTTGTCTGAGTTGATCTCAGCAGAGAATGAACCTCTATCAGGGTAGATGCTAGTTTTTAATTTTGTAAGAAATTGGTCTGCTATTTTCGTGATTTTATTTGCATGATACTTTAAATAATGTTTTTTTTTTTGCTTTTTTTTAAAAGAACAGAAAAGAAAAAAGATTTGGACAAATGTGTAAAAAGTTTTACAATAAATTAAAACTTTCATATTTTATTTTATTTTTTCCTTTCTTTGTTATCAAGGGAATATAAGCTCCAGAATTTCCGGATAAATGATAATTTGTCGCATCAGTATCATGTCTGCATATGTGTCGTATCAGCTATGAAGCTATGGCAAAGAATTGATTATTAAGTTGTTTGTTGCCAGCGCCAGGATAATTGATCCTTTACCATAGGTTTATTAGCAAATCAGTCAACTCATCGCAAAGCATACACGCCACTGTATCATACATACAATCTCATGTTTAAAGTATCAGTTCAATACCTACTAAATAACAACAGATTCATATTTTTTAATTGTCTTCATTGTTTAAAAAATTGAACAAGATCACAATATTTTTGCGCAGGTGAGTATACTGTCCCACAAGTCATTATTAAGAACCAAATGAACTTGTTTGGTCTCCTATGCTATATTTACACTACTCTCCTTTCTCTTCTTAAATTTTTCACTAGCTATGTCAACAGTTGGTAAAAACGGCACCGTTAGCTTCATATGACGTACAGAAACAATCAACACAGGTTTTGTGAAGAGGTGTCAGGTGACGCTTGATTGGAGGGGTTGGAGTGAAGAAACCTTTCAAGGACTTCATCCTCATTTCAGTGTCAGCCAGTGTCTCCCAAAAGGTCACAGAGTCATCTGGTATGACGTGAATGCTTTTAACAAGTGAGCAGGCTTGATTTTATCATTGCTCGGCTTTGTTGCTCAGGGACTTAATTCTACCAGGAGAGAGCGAAATTTGATAATGGGAAGGATGGGGAGGGGCACAGGCATGGACAGAATTAGGGATTTTTGTAGGAAGGCGTAGAAAACACTTCCTCAAGGGGGTGTAGGGAGCATAGAAAAGCACCCTACGAACAGGGGTATGGGGGACTCCCCCCCTAGGTGAGGCTGCGGCACTCCAGAGGAAAATTTAATAGTCGTTTAATGAGATAACTTCAGCCATTCTTACGTCAAAATTTTTTCTCATAAAATTTCAAAAATGAAAGGAATGTCACCCAGTTTTTTTTTTTTTTCTTTTTTTTTTCTTTTCAGAAAAGCAGGTACACTTTCTAAACAAACCTAGCAAAATTCTGAAGAAGGGAGTGGGGCGACTTTCCCCCTCGCCCCATAATTCCATCCATGGAGAGATTTAACTTCAGAAGTACACAAAAAATCAAAATGTGTTTAATTGCCATTGAAATCATGACTGGGTTTGCCGAAAACTTTTTGAATCTATTTTTGTGCTCTTATCTCCCTTTGTGCAAGTACAAATTATAATTGCAGTGTTATCATTACACCTAATTTTCAAAGAGAGCAAAATACAGGAGGGGAGGAGGGCAAAATTTTTCTCCAATAGGTAAGTTTCAGAAAATCTACTGAAGTTGACTGAGGAAGTTATTTATAAAAATTTTAAATTTCCTCAGGAGGGAATGGGAAAATTATATCCTTGTTTTTAGTGTCCCTAGATTTTCAAGTTGAGGCAACCTATGTAAGTATTTTTCTCCAAAACATCAGTTGAATAATTCTTTGAAGAAAGCTAGAAGCAAACAAAGGAAGCTCCAAGCTTAATCCACTACTTGCATTGTTACCAGCACTCATGATAAAACCTGACGTTGGGTGGAATGCAGTTAAGAATGGGGTGGTTTGCAGTGAATGGTGAAGCATCACAAAGGCCATATTTTACAACCCCCTGTAATTTAACTTATAGTAAGTTAGCCTTTTACAGGCACTTGTTGGGTTTCCTGCCACTAAATTTTCACCATTCTGTGATGGATGTTTGTCGTGGAGGTAAGATTCTCATTTGCCCTGTACTCCTCTGTTCGCCACTACCGAATTTTTAATTAAGAGATTAGCTCTGGCAATCAATTCCTGGAATTATGTACAATGTCTGCAAATTCCTACTTTCCTCTCATTCTTTCGTCAACTCAAGTCAAGTCTAGCCAGCTCAAAGCTTTTGCTTGAAATGCTCACCCTTTAGTTCCTCAATTGTGTCCTCCTCTTAAGGTAGTCAAATTCAATTTTCCAACCACATAAAAAATTATCTTGAACTTTGCTGAAATAAACTTAAACTTACATTAAGCAATTGACCTTGAAGTTTATTTAACGATAACTATATCGCAGCATTTATTCTGGACATTCTCCGTTATGTAATGGAAATTTTGATCAGTGCATCTACTACACATCTTCCTTCAATACCACTTTCAGATCGTGCACCTTCAAAAGATCTAAGTGGTGTATTACTAAAGCAAGAGATGATCATCATAGTCTAAAAGCGTTTTGAAAATCCTTCTCTTCAATTCTTATGAAAAGTAGCTCTCATTAAAAATGGATGAAGAAGGATCCTGAGAATGGAATTTACGCTAGGTATTCCTCTTTACAAAACTTAAAATAATTACTTAGACTGATCAACTGTAATTTCATTTATTTGTAGCATAGCTATAATTTCTGTCGATTGAATGTCGAATGTTTTTGATGTCGAATTTCTGTTGATTTTTGGTTGCCCTCATCGATCTTTTAAATTTTCAGTGGTTTATGTTTGGGTTTGTTTGGCTTGTCTCAATGCTGTGAAAGAGGTAACATGTGGGCGTCAAGAAAGCATTTGTGGTACGTACAATGGACGAAGGCTATACTTGGAGTTGGGCGACAAAGGAATCCTTTATTCTGGGAATGCAACTATTCACCAAAAATCAAACCAGGTAGCCAACAGATCAATAAAACAGTAGCAAGGAATTTTTGCAGAATTTTGCCATAGTTTTTTCATGTAAAATTTTGTGAAAGAACCAGAAAAGTTATTAAAAACCAATCTTGACCAGCTGTGGAAGAATGTCTCATCTCACAATCATTGGAAGTCACTTTTGAATAATACTCAATGTAAAACAGGAAATAGGGGTTACTAAACTACACAGAAAATGTCAAAAAAAAACAAAACAAACAAATGATTCTGTAATGAAATTGATAACACAGGCCAAGATTTTAAGTGACATTCTTGAGAAACATGAGATGTTTGTTCTGTTCAGTATAACTCATGATGAAGTACATTTTGTGAAACAAAGCTGACAGAAGTGCTAATTTTTTGCCTTTGTAATTAATTTTGAAGTTGAATCTGTGTCATACAAACGGTAAAATGTTCCATGTAATTTTTTAAATTTATAGGGCCTTTCCAAATATCTCAATAATTAGTGGCTCTTTATTCACTCATCCTGGGCACTCCTTCCAATATCAGTATCAGACAACTTATTTTAAAGGATAGAAGTTTTTTTCTTTTGTTCTATTTCCTGTTATCTACTCAGTTTTTCCTTTGTTGGAATACGTTCTCAAGAACCTGTAACTTCGATAAGGAGAACTTAGAGGTCAAAATTAAAATACATGGAGAAATCTTTACTTTTTTACATGCATATGGTGGTGGATAATCTTAAAAGTTAGCAACTTTTTTTCATTTTGAAAAATCAGGGATTTTCATCCAAACCCAGCTGATACCTTTTGGCATGCTTATACTTTGAGGACTTTTTTAAATTCTAGGATTTGTAAATTTGATTTTGATTCACAGCGTGATATCAAGGTCCACGACCAGTGCAGCATCGAGATAGTAACGTGTCCAGCATGTGTCATCAAAGTGTCGTTTCTTCACATGAACTTATCACCACAATGTGGCAACAGCGCTGGAGGGATGGGAGAGCATCAATGTCGTTGCGACTATCTCTGGTTGTCTGAACCACCCTACGAAGAAGTCTCTGGCGCCTCGTATTGTGGTTTTTTCCAGTCGACGACCATCAATGCCCTCAATTATCGATCTCTCACCCGTTCGCTTTCATTGACATTTCTATTCACAGAGTCTCACTCAAATGCTTTTGTATTAGAGTTCACAGCTGAAAGTAAGTTTTAAATTAAAGCAACTTTTAAGTACTTTAAAAAGCTGATTTTTCCTGATAGATCTTGACTTGGAAATAATATGCTCTAATTTTGAGGTTGATTGTTTCAGTCAATATTAGAGAATTATAATATTCATCAAAGGCTAACTTTTTTAGTCAATGATTTATGATGATTCGAGGGTTCAATCGTTCACGCCATCAATATTTCAGAATTCATTATTTAACAGAAAACATTGGACAATTATCTAAAACATCAAACTGTTTTAGCCGCAATTTTATTTACCTGGTGCTTTTTTAGTAAAAGTTGCATTCCTGGCCCGGTAAGTTTCTAGACTTCACCTGTTGCACCTTGAAACTAAACTTCAAAAGATCTTTTCAGAACTTAGGCTGAATTTTGTGTTCAATTCGATTGATTATTAAGCTGAAATTTATCAAATATGAATAAGGTGAATTCTAAATATTCGAATAGTAATTGGAAATAGTAGAGTCAATGGTAGTAATAGAGGTTTGGACGGGACAGTTTGATAGGGATGTTTGACGGTTTCGGTTTCATACATTGAATGCTTGTGCTATCTTATGCTTTCATGGAGCACTGAAAATCGGTAGTAAATAGAAGAGAAGTGATAGGTTTAATATCTTTAGTAGTTTTAAGGAATTTACTTTAACAACAACTTTTAAGCAAAGCAACCCCTGCAAAAACTTTAAACATAGGTTGGGTAGTGAATAAAAGCTGTATAATCATCACTGTCCCTACTACTCGGTCTGTTTCAGGAAATAGACTCCACTTTTCAGGGTCTCCTCGCATCAGTAACATACCGCAAAGTATCAGCCCAGGCGGTGAAATCACCTCCCCATTTTTCCCGGCCCAGTATCCGAGGGATTTGAGTTCTGAGTACACGATCCATTGCGATGTGCAGATTGGAGTGCGATGCAGAATTCGTCTGCTGTTTCTTGATTATCAACTTGCAACTGTTTCCATCATGAAAGTAAGACTTTTTATTTTGCTATCGTAGAATATTCCTATATTTTTTAGAGTCTGTTTTTCAAGCTAAAGGATGACATCAATCTACTGATTTTAAATTGATTGCAACATGAGGTTACTATTCCATTTACATTATGGTGTAATCTTTTTTTTTTCAGTTTTACAACCTAGACAATGAAAGGCAACACATCGACTCCAGCTCTGGAGCTTCGTTTCGGCCTCCAGTTATTTTATCTTCTGGCCCTACGCTTCTCATCCGGTTCAATGCCAATGGTGGAACTGGTCTAGGATTTAAGATCCTATATTCTTTTGTAACAGGTATTTTACTTCTTCTTCTTCGACCAATGCATTTTAACAAACATTGACGGACTTTTTGTGGAAATGCATTTTATAGGAAATATATATGAAGGTAAAGAAAGTAAAAAAGAGATTGGTTTCTTCAGGACCAGATTATTTCGGGAGAAGGAGTCAAGATGCAAAGACATAGACATAGCTAAAAAAAAATTACATCTGAATGAGATTGATATTGAAGACTCAAAGTAGTCAAATTGTATCATTTTCCATTCTTTTAACTTTAAATTTTTCTCCTGTGATTGTGAAGTTTGCGCATCTCTTAATTTTTTCATTTTCTTTTTCGTACCAGGTACTTTTGACCTAACAGCCATCAAACCAATAACATGTAAGTATTTTTACCTTTGAACCAAGGAAGTCTTAGTATAAGTTGCCGAACATCCAGAGGAATTGAAGGAATTGGAATCACCCACTCTTGAATTTTGAATCAATAAACAAAATTAAAATAACTTCAGCAAGAAAAATATGATTTTCAAAATTAATTGGTTGGTTTATTAGTTAATTTTATTGGAGACAGATACTTATCAATATGTTCTTGTATACATGAACAAGAGCTATGAGAACTGGAGGTGTTTTTTTTTTTTTTTTGTATTTGTTTGGCCTCTATAAAACAAAATTCCAACATAAAACTTTATTTACTGACGTGAGCATCTATGAGTCATGATTGATTTTATTTGTGCCAGACTTCGCCTTTTCCGTAATTTAATGCTAATTCTTTCATGGTACGTTATTCTTTAGATTGCGGAGGTCATGTAGAGAACCTAGGTGGAGCCATCACAATGATGAATATGGTTGAACCAGGGAAGTCCGTGAAAAAATATGATTGTATCTGGGTAATAAAACCCTTGACCAATTATTTTCACCTCAAGACACACATTTACTTAAAAGTTGTAACCTTCAGCAATATGGGTAAGTTAAAATTCAGCAATTGATCTACTCCAAATCTTCCTAATTTCCTGATTTATGAATGCAATTTTGTCGGAAAAACCAAAAAAATCAACATGCACACTAGATTGCGGACAAGTCTTTAAAATTCTATAGCTAAGAAACCTATGAAAGTATTCTGTTACTAAATTGTTACTGTTGTGATGATTGTCTGCAAGATAATTTAAATAATAATTACAATTAGGTACTTTCAACTGGAACATACATAATTCTTGTGTAAATTATTGAACGACCTATTTGTAAAAAAATCAACAAATTTAGAGTCATAAATGGTGTTTCTTTTTCAAGTGTTAATATTTCTTCTAATTTTTTATTGTAGCTGATGCAGCTGAGATCATCGTAAGGAAAGGAGTGACATCTGATGGACCTATCATTGAATCAGCCCGTTTTAACTCGTTTCAAGGCAAGAACTCACCCTCAAAAGTTGAGCACATTGTGCCATTGAATGTTGGTTTTTACGTCACTTTGCATGGTGCCTTTTCTGCCTCCTCCCGGGTTGCAATTGTTTATTCTGCTTTCAGCTTTGTGGACGAGTTTGCATCCACTTTTCCATCTCATCGAGGTAACATGAAATTAATTATAATAATTGATGTACGAAACTCGATATATTTGTATTGATGCATGTATACAAAAGTAGACCATCCACAGAAAAATTCCCTGTTGTAAGTACATATTGGAATGCTTCACAACCGAACTTTTCATTTTATTTTTCAATTCAAGCTTTAGCTTTTTGTAGGATTTTGTTCTTTTCCTGAGGATTTGCATCTTATAAAGTTTTGACTAGATTATATTGCACCAAAAGAATGAGGGAATGGTAGTTCAAGTAAAAGAGTCAAATAAAAAAGGGAATCTAGGCAAAGAAACGAATAATTTGCTGCTGAAAGATTTTTGCAGCATTATCATGGAAGCATTTTAACAAAATATTTCATGTCATGTCATGTGTATAGTCATGCAATAGCTTGTTTTTGCCAGCTCCATCTGATAGCTGTAACTCCCATAGCTGTGGCCAAGGGTCTCACTTATTGTTATCCCTTTCTAATTGAACCGTTTCGATTCTTGACCGAAAATCGATAAAAAACCCCTGTTTGTGGCTACATTAAGCAGTGTCCTTTTTATTTTCTGATCGCTCATCTTTTTTTTGTTTATTTATCATACAACTTCTTGCATTTTTCAGACTGTTTTTCTGGATCTGATTTTCTGTGCCAAAACCATCGATGCATTTCCGGCCATCTAAGTTGCGACGGGTTTGATCACTGTGGTGATAACAGTGATGAGCCGTCAGAGTGTTATCATGGTCAGTAATGAAATCTGTGTTTCTCTCTGTCAAACTCAATTTACTGTCTTTTACTGTTACATATTTTTTCTTCATTAGCTCTTAGAAATGCATACTTTTTCAGTTCTTAAACATTGATTTGCAAAGCATAATCTTTAATTGGATGGAGTTAAACAGAAAGGAACCAAGCCACATCGGGATCGAACCGAGATAAAGAGGTTTAAAGTTGGGCTCCTGCATAAGACTCAATGTAAAAGATAAACTTCAAGTTCAATTTCTGCAAAATTTGCTCCAACAAAAACTTTGAATTTTTGACGATAGATTGTAGAGCAGTTAATGAGTTCAAAACCACTCATAACTCAATTTGTTCCAGAATGTGGTTTGGTTCCTTTCTGCTTAACTCAGTCCAATTTGAATCTGGAGCTTTACTATAAGTCACTTTAATATTTTTAAAATTTTTCAGAGTGGGGGTCCGACCTGCTGGATCGAAGATGGTATGCAAAAATTCCAAACTATTATTTCCCAAAAATCGAGCCGTATCCAGACTTGAAGACGGCAACATTGGTTTTCATTGTAGGCACATTTGGTAAATATATCGGATTTTCTTTCAAGTTTTTAATTTAAGAAAAAATTTTGAATGCCTTTAAAGGCCAAGTTGATTCATTTTTATCATTTGTTTTGTTTTTGTTTTTTTTTTTTCAATTTAAAAGTTAAATTCTGTGATAGGTAAAAATTACCAAAGAGAACAATCTTCAATATTTTCTTCGCTATATTTTCACATTCACACCTATCTTGTTTTCCCGTTGTCTGAGTTTTTTCATTGATCAATCTTTTCCTTGTAAATGAAAGCTTGCAGATTACTTTTGAATACAATTCAATGGATGAAGGAGTTGAATCCTTACATGGAAGCATTAAGTGAACAAGGCAACACACGATCACAAAAAGCCTCCTGTGCATTACCGGAAAGTATTTTGGGATCTCTTGAAAATCACTCGGCGTTCTAGAATTTTTAACTTTTCATCATTACAGTGTGGATCAGTGCTTTTATTGCTATGTAATATTTAACCTGTCTGTTCAAACAGGCAACCCTCCCTCAGAGAAAATCTCGCAGAGCCATAAAGAATATGATATGTAGACCCTTTAACTTGATCCATCACAAAAATTGATACGTCAACCTACATTCAGTGAATTTTCCTTAGGTTTAATGATGCTGATTGTCACTCTCATTGTCTTACTCTATCGCATGGGCTCAAGAGGCAACCAACAAAGGGAGCTTCAGAATCATTTACAAACCATCAGTGATTTGTTAGGTAAGTACATTACCTAAATTTATAGTTAAAGTTAACACTTTCTCAAGAAAATTACGGAAGATTATCGATTTGGTAACAGCCTTTGCTTCGTAAAATATTTTTTGCTGAATTTATGTATACATTCGTTTTTAATTTCAACTTCCCTAGCTATTCAAAATTCTTAGCCTACTCATGAACTCAATTGCCATTATTTTATGTTTAGCGGCAGAGTCACGGCCTGAAGAGACACCGCCTGATGAGCCTCCAGTATACGAAGCTCCGCCAGACTACGATGAAATCATCAAGTTAACTCCAACCCTTGTCCCAGCTTCAACACCAAGACACCCCCATAGGAGAAAAAGACAACTGGCCAATTTCCCCTCAAAGCCATCTTTTTCTGCGTAAGATTTTGATTTATTTGATAACCTGCTAAACTTTCTGATTCTTAAACATTGCTCAAGTTTGTCTAGATTCAGAATTATAAAAATAATCTGATATCAATTTTTTGTCAAAATCTGTCTGTTACGACCAAATCATTCGATTAAACTGTGAAACAAAACGTATCATGCAATATAATACATGGTGATACAACCAGAGGATGAATACTAGCACTGATTCAGTTCATTTTATTTTCATTCAGTCGAAAATGAATTCCTTATTCAAAATTCTGAGGATTTTGATGGACTTGGATACACTGATTGCACAATTTACAGAATCATGTCCTAATAACCCATATCGTATGCTTATCAAGCACAATAATGCTAGTCTAAAAGTTAGCATTTTACGTGCCAAATTAAAGCTAAATGATCAATTGATTGCTCATTGGAAACTGCACCAGATGACATCCAATGGACCCAGTTAAGTAGACAGGAACCACGTCACATCAGCTATTGCCAAATGTAATTGGGCTATTTGATTTTTTACATGAAAACCGTTGTGCGGATTGTTGCACAAATTTTGGTAAATTTTCTGCATAGTACGATAAATTTCTTAAAATTTTCAGAGGGATCCGCACTTAACATTTTTTTGCAAAAATTATGCAATTATGGCACTGACAATCGACCAATATTCAGTCAACATCGACTTTTTACATTTCTGCACAACCCCTTGAGCATACAGAAAAGTTGGGAGGCAATTTCTTGGACCGCAGTGAGTTAGGAAGGAAAAATTTTCCTCAAATCTGAATGGCAATAGCCACAATGCTTTTCAAAATGCAAATATCTTCGTTGAAATAATATCAGAAAATTTGGCATTTGAATCAATGATATTCTTTTTCTTTAATTTGTGTGTATTTGAAATGAAATTTTGTTTCAATGATTTGTGTATCTAACCCCTAACCTGGCAGTAAAATGACTTTATTTTTAATCAACAAAAACAGGAACTTAGAGAGCACTTTGGATCCTATGAACACAAAACTATCAGTTGCTCTACCACCAGTACAGGAAGGCGGTCAAAGGAGACAATCTTTACCAGGTTCAATGCTAAGTGCCTCGACAGACGCTCTGCTTGGATCTATACCATCCTGTCCGTCGACACCTGCACATACTCTCACCTCGGTGCCAGACTCCCCCCCTCCCCCATATGTCGAGTCTCCTTTTCTTGTTCGAAAGACAGGTAACTCTAGAATTCATTTTTACCATGAGTGAAAATCATATCAATGGCTGGCCACAATCAATGTAGCTATCGGTTGAGAGTTTAATTTTTAGAATAACAGTTGATGGTTGAACAATTATGTTAAAAACTGGAGATGGAGTCAAAATAAATGAAAAAATCCAGCCATCGCTAATGCCCAGAGGAAAAAAAGGAAAATAGAATGGAAAGCTAAGTTGCAAGTCCATAAGGCCTCCATGACAAAAACTAATTAAAATATTTTCTTGCCATTTTGTTTTCCTTTTTCAAGTGAGAGAAAAAAATTCTCAGAGAATTTCTAGAGAAATTGTATTGGTTATTCTCATTTAAAAAAAATTAAAAATGAAGACATTCAAGCTTGCAATCTAAGGTGCGCGTTTTGTGACTTTAGCCATCAATGTGACAGGGATAGTATGAATGATTAATACTCAGAAATATATGTTGAAAATTAATCCAGGCGGTAAATCTTTTCATTGCAAATCAGATTAAAATACTCCCTCTCCTTATCATGAGAGCAATTATTTCCTTTGTCAGTGTAAACCTGTTATGTAATTCACGAGTAATTAAAAAATTATCAAGGTTGAATATAAGGGAATTAAATACCGTTACACTTTCCATTTCTCATTTAAGTCTTACTGTTTCAGGTGCAGAAAACCAAGACATCTTCTTGGACTTCCCTTCAGAGGGCCCATCCGTAGTTAATGGATCTCCTCTGCCAGTAACATTATCCAATGCTGACGTTGCCCCCAGGAATTCAATGACAATTCAGATGCATTTTCCTGTGGAAAATCCCAGCATCCAGGACATGTGGGGTGATCCTCAAAGTGCTAGCACTTCACAACCTTGGACCATCGAACCAGCAGACGTATTCTTTACCCAGTGGGCAGATGCTAGTGTAATGTCTCGGCTGTCGGATTCTTGGGTCCAGTTCAAAAGTTCAGAATCTAGCCTACCCGGATTGCAGACTCCTGAACGGCGATCACCTGACATTCGACTGTCAGAGGTCCTTACTGATGAGTTCAGAGAATCTCCGGACATTGAATGTATCAACATTTCAGACAAACTGGACACTTATAGCTGGGGGAGCTCCTCTCTGAATAGTCACGATATCACAATGCCCACTGTCTCACCTGATCCTTCCAACGATTTCAACGACAAATTAAAATACTTTGATCTTCTGGTATCAAAGTATAATGTTGCACCTCGAGGGAGTTTAAGGCAAGTTGGAAGACGAAGAATGAGATCTCTTGACATGAGGCTCTTTAGTAAACGCGAAATATGTTCTTTGTGCCATAATGCATCCTGCACAGAAAATTCCAGCGTGCGTAGCAAAAGTAATATGGCAGCCTTGAGTACTTATCTCACTCGCCTCGATGTAGGACCGACAAAATTAAAATCTAACAGTAGCTCCGTTAAAGTTTGTGATAAGTGTCAAATGAAAGCAAGCAAGAAGTTATGCCTCAGCATTGGATCATCATTGGATGATTTAAATAGCCTAGTTTAGTGATTCATAACAACTTTTCAAGCTTTTAAATAATATGGGTTGAATGCAGTCTCACGTTAAAATTTTTATCTTTCTGAATCAATTTCTATACATTGTTGAAGTATACTAACTCTGTATGCTTCAATTGATTTTTCTTTGTATTTCAAAGGAAATAGTAAAAACATTCAAAAGAAGAAAATTGATGTTATTACAAAGAGCTTGATGCAAAAACGGCTTTTTTCGCCCCCCTCTGGAAGTTCTTCAGACTTTGTCTATTGATTACTCATACTTGAGAGCTTCTTTTCCCAAATTTTCAGACCCCCAAAAAATGTTGGGGGGGAGCTAGGGGGGGTGGAAGTCAAAACCTGTGAACCTCGATATCTCTTGAACAAAGAAAGATATCGAGGTCCGGTTTGGACGAAAAATCGTCTAAAATTGCGTACTTTAAGATTCTAAAGGTCGAAATCCCGATATCACATTTTTAAGTCAACATATGTACTTTTTTCCAGTTTTTAGGTCTAGAAAATTTCTTTTAAACGAGAAATTTACAAAGATCTCAATTTTTTATTTGAACCAAAACCAGTTTTTTAAATTGTTCGTCTTTTTCCGCATCCAACGAGTGGTTCATTAAGCTGGGGAACCAAACGGTTCCGGAGTTATGATCGATTGAAGTTTCCGCTCAACGCGCGCCGACCGATTTTCGCGCCGTAAAAAGTCGGATTTGACTGTTATTAGATCAGATTGAATGTTCAAACTGAGCAAAATGCTTTATTAGGGACTCTTGAGGGTCGCTGAGTTCAGAAATTACAGATACTTCCAAATAATTTACGTTTTTAAAGTTACAGCTCCGCAGCGCTATTTTAGAGGCCCACTGAGCGCCGACCGGCCGCTCAGTGGTCCTGTCCGAAGCTGCCATTTTAAAAACGTGAATTTTTTGGAAGTATCGGTAATTTCTAAACTCAGCGACCCTCAAGAGTCCCTAATAAAGCATTTTGCTCAGTTTGAACATTCAATCTGATCTAATAACAGTCAAATCCGACTTTTTTGCGCGCGAAAATCGGTCGGCGCGCGTTGAGCGGAAACTTCAATCGATCATAACTCCGGAACCGTTTGGTTCCCCAGCTTAATGAACCACTCGTTGGATGCGGAAAAAGACGAACAATTTAAAAAACTGGTTTTGGGTCAAATAAAAAATTGAGATCTTTGTAAATTTTTCGTTTAAAAGAAATTTTCTAGACCTAAAAACTGGAAAAAAGCACATATGTTGACTTAAAAATGTGATATCGGGATTTCGACCTTTAGAATCTTAAAGTATGCAATTTTAGACGATTTTTCGTCCAAACCGGACCTCGATATCTTTCTTTGTTCAAGAGATATCGAGGTTCACAGGTTTTGACTTCCACCCCCCCTAGCTCCCCCCCAAAATTTTTTGGGGATCTGAAAATTTGGGAAAAGAAGCGCTCAAGTATGAGTAATCAATAGACAAAGTCTGAAGAACTTCCAGAGGGGGGCGAAAAAAGCCGTTTTTGCATCAAGCTCTTTACCATCTGTAGAAAATTAAGAAATCTCAATACAAGGAGAAAATTTCGACCACTTTGATAAAATGTTCATAAACTTAATGCGGTCTCAGGAATAACAGGGCCATGCATCTTACTAGAGGTGGGGAAAGGACAGAATGGACAAACGTCTTATCGGAAAATGGCAAAGGTCAACAGTAATTTATGAGCCAGCCCATGGCTCAGCTGATGATTAATGCATTTCAGCATGATGTGACGTTTGTCTATTTTTTTCTTTCCCCAATTCTAACTCCTACCAAATGGAGCATTTGGTGTGAATTATTTTCGGCCCATACGGATGGATAAAATTGTTCGGAAGTTCCGGATTTTTATGATGACTGGCAAAACTATAAAGCTGCTTCAAAATTTCGCTGCATGGACCTTCGACTAAATTAACAATTGAAATAATTAAGTCCAATGGCTCCTTTTTTTCCCGTTTTTGGACACTGTCCCCCCCCCTCCCCAATGGGCGCAAAAAGCAAATAAAATCGAAGTAGAAAGATTGAAAGTAGAATCTGAATATTGGACCTGAATTTCAGATAATATTCTCTTCGATTTGTGTCCCATTTCAGATTTTAAGGATTCCCAATTGAGTACATATTATGTTAAGGTTTGTTGATCATCTACTCTGTCTCACTGTGATATTTCAAATAATATATTGACGTTAAGTTTTCAATCTTTGTTTCTTTATTGAATTCACCTCCCAAAAATCAAATGTAGTAAGTGTTTTGAAAGGAAATGTAAACGCCACAGCGCAAGGAAAAACAGATGAAAAAAAACCAAAAAAAATCTGCCCTACAAAATGATTTAGTTTCCGTCTTTTTTTTCTTTTTTCAATTTTCTGCAAAAACACAGCTGAAAAGTAATGATGCTCTCTGTTTATCACAGGCTCCCTCTTTAATTGTACTCAATAAAACCAAGACTTTCTAAGTTCAAGTATGCACTGAAAAGCAAATATTTTCCTTCATTTACTTAATCCATTTAATTTTAACCTTAGAATCAGTCAATATGTTTGTCCACAAGAAAAAAACCATACCTAGCAAAGGATTGCAACTTACATGCATATGAAAAAATGAAAATCACTGAATTGATGCTATGTACATTTATATGATTCATACATTTATACACTTTTAATTTAATGACTAGGGCAAAATAGTTCTAAAGTCTAATAAAGTGTCTTCGGTACAAGTCATTAATAGAAAATTAGTCACTTAATAAGTAATACTCATTTTTGAAGTATCAGCGTACTTGTAACAAGTTGGCTTTATAGCAGGTCAAGCTACAAAGAGGTACCTGAGTTTTAGAGCAAGTGTACTTTTTTTTATTATCACAGCCTTTGACACCGCACGTTTGAACCTGAGGGGTGAGTACACTGTAAAGAAAAAAACATAGAGGGTAAAACGCAGCCACACAATATTTATTAGAATTTCATGTATTGTTGTTAGTACATGAAAACGAAGAGCAAGGCTCGATTTATACATCCATATGCTGTTTTGTTGATAATCTCTCTTGTACTCATCGATCTAATGTTGGAGGCTCATCAAACACAGAATTTAGAAAAAGAAATTCTTTAACATTTCCCCAATTTCCCTGAATAATTGGGGTAAAATTTCCTGAAAGTTGAATGTAAGCTGGGTGATTATATGACATAATTTAGAATACTTTCATGCAAAATATGCCGTCTGGAATGTCACATCTATTCTTGGAAGCATGGTAAAAAAAGTCAACAATTTTTCCAGGACACTATGGTCATTTTCCCTGACATTTCCCGTTTTTCTAGTATTCTATGAGAGTGGCAACCCTGCTTCAATATTGTTTTCACCTAGCTTGAAAAGGGCAGATTATTCATTATTGCATGCATGATATCTTACCTTCTTGTGGACTCGAGAGGAAAGGCAACATTCTCAGGGACAGAGAGTGTGATTAAATCAGTCGTATTACGATAAGATATGCAGGGGTAAATCTTTTTCATCAGAAGTTTTGATTTGGCCGTGCTTTGTTTTAATGATTTGCTTTCTTGTTTCTTTAGCAATCGTTCCATCGTCTTTTTCTAAAAACAGGAAAAAAATCAGAGTTGATCAATTAGTAAAATTGGTAGTTATTAATAAGTCATAACATGTAAAGTTTCAACATTTTTGCAAGTCTCTGACTGAGAAAGGATTGAGTATATCAAACAGACAACAGGTCACAGACAGAGGACGAATTTAAGCTTTCAGATATTTGTTTCCTTTTAAAAATTTCCCTGTAGAACTTGATTTGTACAACGAGAATAACTGATACTAACTCTATAGAGTTCGTGGATTGACTCTCATTCTAATTTTTGGTTTTTATTTTCCTGCAGAATAATGTGAACCCAGCACTTACATCGATGAACTTACAATTGTAACTTAGAAGAAAATTTTTAGAACCTTTAGATCAATGACACTTCAAAAAGATCAACTAATTAAAAATAAGACAGAATAAAACAATATTAAAGGATTTTAAAGGGATGGAATTTTCTGGGATGGGTCCCAGCCTTTCTAGCTATGGGCAGCTATTTACAATTCTTGAAGAAGGACTGGGAACTCTATTATCATAATAATAGGCTGTTAGCCTCTGTTTGTACTCACCTTATCTTTTTCTCGTTTCTCATCAGCTTGCTGTTTTCGCCTTTGAGATTTTAAAGCCTTCTTTTGCAAAGCTTCAGGGGTTAGAACTTTTTCTCTGTAACCTACAATTCAACCAACACATGTTTAATTGCGATTATTTCTGATTCATTCATTTTAGAGTTTCAGGAGAGGAAATTACTATCTGTCAGGGCACATTTTGATGGTGAAACTGTAGAAACAAGTATCTAGATTTGTGGTGTTGCACATTTCGTGTCATACTTTACCTACCTCTTGCATGGAATACCACTAGACTCACTTCTTGAAAACTTAAACGATTTTTTTTCTCTATGTGAAGAATGATCTGTAAAAATTTCAAGCTATGTCACTGGTTTGGTTTTCTTTGGAAAAATAAAATAAAATTGGAGCAGAAATTTTGGAACACCTTGACCAAAATACGCATTTTTGCAGTTTCACCATCGATTTATTTGGAAATTTACCAATTCAACTAGGTACACAAGTATTTCAGAAATGCTGCGGTGGCAAATTTATAAAATGGAAAAAAATAAAAACTGAATAGAACTGAAGTGATGCAAAATATATTATGAAAATTTCAAAGATTACTTTCGATGACAAAAGAGGAATTTTCAAAAGATTCTATTCTTAGTTTTTCCGTAAAAAATTGGACAAGTTTGAGAAGCACGGCTGATACTTATGATGAGCTATTTCAATAGGTTTCAATTCCTTCAGTAACACAGTAAACACAAGTAAACTTCCAGTAACAACAGTAAAATTCCTTCAGTAAACACAAGTCGCCGAGAAAGCCAAAATGGCGTCCAAAAATACCCTTCCTACCAAAACCAACTTTTGACCTCGCCACCTCTTTGCCTCAATTTGTGGTCAATGCAGGTGCTACCAACGCACGACTTGACCATAAATTGCAGGCAGAAGGGTCAGGAGCATTGCTCTGTAAAATTAGGGTTTTGTTTGAAATCTTGCTGATAAACCGTGATGGGCTCGATTTTATCATTACCAAGATATTTTAATAATTTGTAAGAGGAACAAAAGAATAGGTTTGCTACTAACATTATCTTCATCTAGACAAACATATAAATGGGGGAAAAAACTAATCAGATTCAAAAAACCAAAAATTTTGCAGGATGAAGGATTGTGTTGATTTTGGATGGTACTTATCTATGAACCTGATAAATTTGCATGATTTTAACCTTTGGCTCCACCTAAAACATAGAGAACAACTGAACAATTTACCTGAAGGTAATGCTAGTAGCTGCTCTGCTGGCGAAGCAGAGCTATCTGTTTTGCGTTCGAACATCGCTCTTTGTCTTGCCGTCATTAACTTTGGATCCTTTGGTTTAATTTTCTTGAGTTCATCGTCCACCTAGAGCCAACAAAAATTAAAATAAAATAGAAAAGAGTTTTGAATTCAAATTAAGAGATATCAATTACACAATTCAATTAAAACTTATTTTGAGTTGGTCAGTCTCACTAGTTTAGTGAATAGAGCATTTCACTTCTATTACTGACTTTTTAGGGGACAGTTTAAAAACTTTTATCGTGGTCCCTACAATCCATTGGAGATGACCTGGTGAGAAAAGAGACTTAGTCACTTGATGCTGGTTAGCCCACACTGTTCTGTTATGTTATGCTATGATAAGATTGATGGTGACTAGAAGTAAGGGTAACTGCCAGCATCACCTGCCAAAGGAGATTAAAAAAAAAGACGAACTTAGTTGAGGCTTGGTCATGCTTTTAAGGTCTGCTTTCAGTAGCGTCTGCCACAGTCATTAATACAACCTCAGATTTACTGTATGGTTGCTTCCAAGTCAAGATTCAGAAAGCGTTGGAATATTGAGTACATTTTCAGTTACGGACTCCAAACTTAAGGATGCCCAACAGGGAGTCTGTCAGTTGTCTAGGCTTGTAGAGAGGACCTTGTTGATCAGTCCGGCTTTAACTCCGACTAAAGAGTTCCTTCAATCAGCTCTTCTGAGCTGATGATAATGCTGAGCTGATGAATAATGTTTCCAAATATTGAATAATTTTTTTTAAATATTTTGTGTTCAAACCATTCATATCATTCAAAGAAACAAAAGGAAACAAGACAGAAAGAACAGATCCCTCAAAACAATAAAAAGTAATCAAACCTCTTCAAGTTTGCCAGACTCAATGGCATTCAACCAACGCTCTTCATCACTTGAAGCTGCACCATCTTTTTCTTTCTTTTTCTTTTTTGAACTATTTTTAGGAGATAAACCTGGAATTTTGTTCTCAGCAATTGAGGTTTGGGTATCACTAGCACTGTTCCCACTGCAAAAATAAACATTCAACAGTTTAAAACAAGGGTTAGGATCAACTAATAGAGAATTGAGGATTTTTCCGGTTAATGGACCCACTCTTTCTCTATATTATTGCCATAATATTAACTAGTAACTTTACAATCAAGAATCTAAAATTTAAAGAGCTAAAATGACATTTATCTATTGCATGCATAAAACAGCATTGAGGTTTGCATTTTGTACATATTCATCAACCTAATGATGGTAATTTGGACAGCTCTTGTTATCAGATCTGGCCAAAGACTAATTTTAATAGACCTTCCAAGACTACTTTTTGAGCAGATTTTTAAACTGCAAGTACTTGATAAGAGAAACTGATCCCTTCCATATCTTCACAGCATTTGGAGAGTTTGAAACAAGAAAAGCCAAAAATTTTAAAATCTTCCTTCCTGATAAAAAATGTGAACATGATGAGGGCATATACATATTTCAAGGGCTGTAGACTTTATACTTTTCTAGATAAGAATATAGAAAATATCTTTCTTCCTCTAACTAAAAGTTGCGGTCTTTTCCAGAAGTTTAAAGAAAAAATACCTCTTCTGCGATAGATCAACATCCTCTTGAGAGATTCCGGCAAAGGAAGATTTCAGATCTTCGAACAGCGACTTTTCAATTGATGACTGAGGAAGGTCCAAATCGTCAATCAGCCCTGGAGAGATAATTTCTTCGAGAGTATCACTTTCATTTTTTTTCCTTTTGTGTTTCTTATGTTTATGCTTCTTGTGTCTTTTGAGTCTCGGCGATGGCTCCACACTGATTTCCTCTGTGACTGAAGAAATAATGAAAATTATTGACAACCTTGGTTGCTGACAAGAGGGAATGATTATGAAAAGTAGAAATTGGATTGGTAGATCATTGAAATTTTTTTGACGCCAAAAAATAACAATATTTTCAGAGCCTGAGATAGAGCTGTATCATGATATGATTATAGAGATACCTACATGCAAATTTTCAGTGACATTATTTAACGTTGAAATTGCAATAAACTGAGAAATCATTTTTAGTGTATTTTTAACTTTTATCGATAGGAAAAAAAAACCAGTAAAATCTCTCAAGTGTTGATGAAAGTCTCAATAAAGCAGCGATGACAATTCAACTTCATTTTACTAGATCGCATATTTATTATTCAGAAATTCTACTTCCTTGAGTCAGTGTTCCAATTCTTTTGTCTTGACGGTATGATGACAATGTATTCACTGGAAGCTACTTTACTGTGCTTTACTGTACATTGTAAAATTCTCTGTTTAAAACTCACTTCTTATAAAATGACTAGGTATTTGTGATCCAGGATTGACATTTGGATTCATCACTTACAAAAGTATTGATCTCCCAGTAATATCATTGCAATTTCACCAAGAGGAAAAACAGGGATACTTCCTTGAAAGCTTGGAAATTTAAACTTCGAGCTTCAACATTAATTTTAAGTTCATCCAGATTTGTTCAAGTTTTCCCTGCAAACTAATTCTACTTATGAAAAATCCATCAAGACACCCTAAGTAAATATTTCCCCACAAGGATCTTTGACGGAGAATTTTACAAGAGATTTGAGCACAGGTGGGCATCGATTTCATTTGAGTGAGTGCTTACCAACATCTATTTCCTCTTCAATGGCCACTTGCTCCTCATCTCCATGATACATATCAATAGGTCGCGGCATTTTGATAACTAGTTGAGGGTTTCGTTACAAACAATAACCGTCCAGCTTCATCCGCATTCTCCGATATATATATTCCCTGTAAAACACACAGACGTATGCTATAGATGCATTACCAGTACATTAAAAACTGTAGAAAGAAAAGAATGGACAGATGCTACGTTGAAAAATAGCACCAATCAACGAGAAATTTATAGGATAACAAATACTCAGGCCAAATGATAATTGATGCATTGTATCATCGTTGCCACCAAAATTCTTTGACTCAGTAAAACGTCTTTCTGTTAATATTGAATGACTAGTGTAGTTTCGAATAACTATTTGCAGGAACAGTGTCATGATTTTTGTTACATTTCTTAAAGATAAAAGATAAAACAAATAAAAGATATGCCAAATAAGTGCAAAAAAAGAACACGAAACATAGGTGCATGTAAGTAGGAAAATGAATAAGGAGGGCGAACTACTATGGAGAATTGACCATTCATACATATTCACCATGAAGATAAAAGTTGACAGGGTAAAAACTAAAAAGGCTCATTCCATGAGATTCCCAGACTGATTTACTTAACTTCTTAAAATTTGTTGCGAGCCCTAGGGAGATAATCAGACAATCTTCTTTCAATTGTCCATAAAACAGTTCCTCCTGAAACATGAGGTTTCAAGGCACATTAAGTAGAGGATGAGGCAATTGCTGACAATCCTTTAAAAGTAGCCAAAAAAAAAAATATGGGCTGAGTATGATAAAATAGTTTACTAACTCACCTACCTCCTTCCTAAGGGAAGCAATAGAGGGTGGCCACTGGAATTGAAAACTTGGGTCTAATGTGCACTTCTGGATGTCTTATTGGCAGGGAAAGATTTCATTGTTGTAATTGTTACAATTTCCCATAAACTAATAGTCAAAGGTTTTGTATTTCAGCATTTACTTTGTGAAACAAAAATCAACAGGATTAGCGCATTAGCGTCTTTAACCTCACTTTTTTGTTTATTTACCTCTGAAGAACAACGTTGACAACGTTGAAGAGGCTCCTTGAGCGGTAAATTCAAATCTGCGTGCAGCTGTCGAGGCTCGAGGGACATACTCATATTTTAAAATCATAGGCAAATTTTGTTTATAAAAAGGAAAATTTGAAATTAATTTTCAGTCTGATTTAAAATCTAAGGAAAGAGGGATCCCGATCTTAGTACACAGGAACAGGCCATTTTTAGTGGTCCTCGCAATAAGGCCTGTTTTTTACAATCAAGAACTGGATTGGTATAGGGGTGGATTTCTGTAGATTTTCATTTTGGGAATTTTTTTTCCTTCAAAAAAAATTTTACAGTAGGTAATCCACAAAGCATTTTTTAGAAGTAGTATACTATGTAGAATCATATTTAAGTGGAGGGGTCAACTTCTGTAGGGCCAATTTTTTTTTTTTTTGCTAGTAAGTGAACGAAAAAAGTCTACTTTGTCAACTCCAGCCAGTCTCATTTCACATCCTGTATTTAGTACTTGCAAGGCTTCTTTCCTTCAACTGAAGGTTTTTTATTGCTCTTTCAAGTAAGAGAAGTCAAGTGAATAAAAAAAGGATGAGGATAATACTTTAAAATGTCTTACAAATGGTCATTTTTGGAATTTCAGTACGGAAAAGGCTTAATATTCTGAAAAACACACTTTTATTTTAATCCTCCTAGGGAAAAAAACCAATCGAAGATACTGAAAATGCATTAAAACTCTCAATGATACCCTTAATTAAACTAATCTTCTCATAAAACCGATTTGATTCTTAAAAAAATAGTCTTTACAGTCGTTTTTTCACCGATGGCCGGAGTTGACAGGTAGTACGGAGTTGACATAGATGAAATTACAAAACGAAGTTATTTGAAAAAATAACGAATATTTAACTAAAGACTAAAATCTAATGAACTGGAACAAACAATTGAACAAAAATATTACACGAATGTCAAATAAAGCTCAGTTTTACAACGTTAAACGTCATTGGGCCGGAGTCGACAAGGTCGGAGTTGACATAGACGAAATTATAAAACAAAGTTATTTGAAAAAATAACGAATGTTAAACTAAAGACTGAAATCTAATGAACTGGAACAAACAATTGAACAAAAATATTACACGAATGTCAAATAAAGCTCAGTTTTACAACGTTAAACGCCATTGGGCCGGAATCGATAAGGTCGGAGTTGACAGAAATGAAATTACAAAATAAAGTTATTTGAAAAAATAACAAATATTTTACTAAAGACTGAACTCTAATGAACTATGGGACAAACAATTGAACAAAAATATTACACGAATGTCAAATAAGAGCTATGTTTTACAATGTTAAACGTCATTGGGCCGGAGTTGACATAGGTGACATTATAAGACAAAGTTTTTTGAAAAAATAACGAATATTTAACTAAAGACTGAAATCTAATGAACTGGAACAAACAATTGAACAAAAATATTACACGAATGTCGAATAAAGTTCAGCTTAATAACGTTAAACGTCATTGGGCCGGAGTTGACAAGGTCGGAGTTGACGCGGCCGGAGTTGACATTTGAGTGTTTTTCGCGGGAAAGAAAGTGTCCACGATGCAGAATACAAACAAAACCGATTGTTTTGAGGTTCGATCGTGCAGGTACATCATATACTGAATTATATCACTGGCGCCACTTCCCCAGAATGAAATTTTAACATAAATGGAGTTGACAGTTTCAAATTACCATTTTTAGAAATCCAAATATTTGATGCAGAAAAGGTTTACTTATGTTTATCAAAACAGTGTTTCCGATAGCCCGGGACCTCCAACTCTTGAAAAAACACCATCACGATGGTTACCCTGCGCGCGCACTATCAGCTATTTGCTCCGGAATGCGCGAAAATAGCTCCGCCGGAGTTGACACCAAAGCTAGCGACACAACTTTCTATGTATGGTGCACGTTCCCCTGACTTTTAAATAGTTTTCTAACAATTTTTCAGTAGACCCCATCTATTCAACAATTTAAATAAAGCATCAAAATTGTGCAGGACTCCGCCAAAAAGTCAGCAGAACAGTTCTTGTGTTCGAATTTAGCCTGGCGACATTAGCCGGAGTTGACATTTTCACTATTAAAAAAATTCCCGAAAGTATGCTTCGGCATTTAAAGTAGATTTAACAATTTTTTAAGATTGCCAAGACCTACCGAAGTGTAAAAAAAAATAAGTTAGACATATTCCGTAGATTACCGCCTCGAAATCATCCGGCGACAGCAAAATGAAAATCTACAGAAATCCACCCATAGATACATTGACGCATGACGCACCGTCAATCAAGGTCATCACTTCGTTCGTTATACATTTTTTTTTTGATTCGGATGATTTATGGGACATCCGTTAGAGTAAGTTCAGAGGCGAGTGTATACCGTTCATTTTGTGGTGATTTATGTTGGAGACGTCAAACGGGACCTTCGTCATTCGATTCGCGACGGGTCGGGCTTTTTAAATAGGCATGCACAGGCACACATCCACAATAAGTAATTGAAAGTGGCGTTAATTACGTTTAATCGCCTTGTGTGAGGCGGACGTAGAAGTTGATGATTTTTTTTCTGTATTTGGGTATCTATCGGATGAGAAACCCAGGTTTCGTGGACCTACCTTCGTGTGCGTTTGGACATTGTTAGGACAAGGCAGGCTTTTTTGATTGATGCTCATTCCTGATCGGACGATTCTTAACTCTACCGCAGAAACAAATATGTTATATAGGAGTTTGGGATGCACGCTCGACATTTTTTCCCTGCTGCGTCCATCAAATTACAGCCGCATTCGTCAATCTCAGGTCAGTGAGTAGTGAGTGTAGGAACCGCAACCTATACCTACTTCAGGGCGGCAACGTTGTAATACATTTTCAAAATAAAAGCATTTTTCGAAAAATTTACAATGTCGCTTTTTTTACTTCATCGGCACAATCGATAAGTACCACTGAAATTAAGCGCTCTCAGATGGCGCATACAACAAACACTGAACGAATTTTATTACAACGCCTGGATGCAACTATTCGAGCTCAACGGATGTCCGTGTTGCATACGCACGGAAGAGCAGGCGCTTTGAATCTCCAGGCACTTACCGCTTCACCCGCTAGTGAACATTTCAGGGGGAAAAAATCGAGCAGGCATCCCGACTTTGCTTTCGCGAAAAAGTTACAGTTAAGAGTCAAAAATGTACGAGTAGATCGACCTACGGTTCAGGGCACCAGTAGACTAAGTTTATTAAAACGGAATCAATGACGAAGTATTTAAACGAAGCCGCCCTAAAATTCCTCGCATAAAATCTTAGGTGAGGCGTTAACAAAAATTGTGCATTCTCATGTCCGTTCTTGAGTTTTCCTTCATTTCTATATGTGCGCTTTTGAACCATTTACTTTTGACTTTTGAGGTTTGTGCTTTCAGGAATTTGTATCTCTGGGTAGGGTACCGTCGGTTATTCGTGCATCACTATCGGAAATAGCATACTCGGCTGATTGAAGGCGTTTTACACTGCCTCAGTAAGCGGAAACTATGAGGTTGCACAGTTAAGTCGTGCTTGATCGGCTGGATAAAATTACTATTCGTATGCATCACTGTCGCAAATTGCAGAGTCGGCTAATTGAAGGCGTTTTATACTGCCTCGCTATTTGAAAATCGCAGGTCAGCAGGCCGAAGTGTCACTTGATCACTAGGATGGAATAGGCAACTATTTGTGCATTGCTGTCGTAAATTGCATATTCGGCTAAATGCAGGCGTTTTGCTTCGGCTTGAAGGCTCTATTATCTAGATTTCTTACAAAGATAAGCGGCGGAGCTGGGCCTAAGTAGAGTCCCTTTATACTGAGAGTCAAGACAATTCGGCTCATGGATGTCACAAACGGGAATTAAGATTACACAAATTGAACGTTTTTTGTAATCTTTGATCGGCCCATTCTCAAATGCCTTTCTCCGTTCCTCCTCTCATTCCGTTTGTTCCTTGCCGAACCCGAAATTCCTCGGTCCATTCCAGATTATAATCTTTGCAATTGGTGAAAATGTAATCTTTATTCCCGTTTGTGACATTGTGGAGGCCTAAAATACGGGAACCAATCAGAAATGGATTCAAATTGTCTTGACTCTCAGTATAAAGGGACTCTAGGCCTAAGATGAGCGAGAGGAACTGAATGGCAGCTGGTAATACCATGTCGAGACAATCATTCATAAAACGGGCGCGTATTGAGACGTCGACGTCACGCCATCAAGTGCCGTTCGTCGAGCGACGACAACGACGACGCGACGCGCTGTCAGGGACGACAGGCTCCCGAAGCCGTCACGTCACGTCCGTCTCGCGTCGCATCGGCGGTGAAAGTACCGGCCGCCACCGGAGGCGTGGGAAATGCTCCTTTTCAGGGAAACTTGGACCGAGGCAAGGTCGACCCGGCCTCCGACCTATAACCCGTGCCAAACATTTGTGCCTGATTATGATCCTCTGTTCCCGCAGAATCTAAGAAGAAAATAAAAGAGAAAAAACTGTTGCAATTAATGATTGCAGATCGATGGCTGTAGTGCGAGACCACGTATCTTCGTTTGCAACGTTGCAAGCTTTCTGCCATACTTTATTTTTCCCTCAGAAAACGTGTTAAAATAATTTCTTGAAAATCCCTCTGTACTATCAGAATATTCCGTAGAAATTTCAAGCTAGGTATAGGCACAAAGGTGACTTCGGTGAAAGGTGACCTCGAAAAAATAAAATAAGAGCAGAAGAGATTTTGAAGTACCGAAATGGAGATAAGTGATTTTGCGTTTTAGTCATCGATTTTTTTTAAATAACTCAGAACTTCATATTTTTAAGATCTTTCAGCTGAAATCCCCATGATGCTTCAATTCTAATAGATGGCACGGAGCCAATACATTCTAGGCACTACTACTACTACTACTACTACTACTACTACTACTACTACTACTACTACTACTACTACTACTTTTACTCTTCCTCCAACCACTGGTGCTACTACTACTAC